AGGAATTCTCTTAGCTGGTGGAGAGGGCCTGTGGCATCTCGTGCTGCATGTGATGGATTTGGGAGGCATCTCTCAGTCCTGCTGTGTGTGGGTTGTGTTCTCTCTCTGCATCTGCTGTACCGCATGACTTGGGAGAATTCCCTTCCTGCTACTTCTCTCATCCTTTGCTGGATAAGTAAGGCTGACAGTGTAAAACATCTCCCACCAAGGGACCTGCCCTGGGCTGGGTTTCTCAGCATTCCCACAATTCAAATAATAATTAGGCTGTTTGAGAGCTGTTTGTAAAGCCAGGAATGAGGAATGGATGAACTGGAAGAGATGGCTCCAAAGTAAAAGCAAAAGGGTGATGGTTCAGTTGCTGCTGTGAGACAATTAAAACTACCAGGGAGAACAGTGGTCAGTGTTTTTCATTCCTGAGGACAACAGACTAGATCCATGACATGAAGGCAACACAGACCTGTATGCTTCAGTGCTCAAGTGCAGATAAAGGTCTTGTTTTCCCCAAAACCTTGAGCCTGCATGTACAGACCTTATCTATTGACCATGTCATTCATTATCTGTGTGAGGAGAGAGCCTTGAAAAACACCAGAACATCCACAGAACAAGATATGGTCTTTTAGTAGGACTCTCTGGAGCCATTGCAGTTCCCTGGGAGGGTGGGTGGGATGTACATATTGTTCCTGTATGGAATGGCTCTGAGGCAAGACAAATAGTTTCCTAAACGAGGGGCTAATCCCCCAGATTAATCCTGGTGGAGCAGCTCTCAGGCCTGCGCTTGGGCCCTGCCCAGGAGCACGTGCACACTAACAGGTACCATCAGGGTTCTGCACTCTCAGAGGCTCAAAGGGCAAACTGGAGCAGGTTACAAAAATCTGAGGAATTTGATGTAATAGGAAGAAAGTCCAGCTCCGGCCAGGCTGCTGGAAGCTTTGCCTTCCCTAGGGCTTTCTTTGGGAAAGCTGGGAAGCAGGGAGGTGATTTCACTCTGCCTTGGGCTATGTACCCGTATCATGTTTGCTGCCCTTAGCTCAGTATTTACAGACAGTGACTGGTCATTGGTTATTTCAGTGTTTTTAGTCTCTTAAAGGAGCTACTCCATGAAACCTGGTGAGCCAAATGCTGCCTTATTTCTAACACCCTCAACCTTGACTTCATCTGGGAGACTGAGACAAGCCTTGTAAGACTGGAAGAGCAGCCCAGCAAGTGGACCACTCACTTCAGTGAGTGGTGAAGGTGAAGGGAGGTGGAGCCTTTGCCCAGAGGCGCTTGATTTCTGAGCTTGATTTCAGAGAACCTCTTGCAAGCAGCAGAGCATCCTTGGAAAAGGAGCTTTTTATTTCCCACCTTTGTTTCTGCTTTTGGATGCCCACTGTTTGAGGCAGGCGTTGTATTTTCCCAGCTCTTTGCCTAGCTGCCAGCTTTAACCATCTGGAATATTACTGCTGTGGTACTACATCCCGAACAGCTGCCCAGGTATTGGTGAAGGTTCCCCAGGGCAGACAGCAGCCCTTTCTCACCAGTTTCTCTGAAATCATCTGGTAGCAGCAGGCAGAGTTTTCCCTTTATGAGTCACTTTGGCCTGTTCTCATGTTACTGTCTTTCTCCAGGTTATTCTTCTCCTTTTTTCTCTGTTTCCAAGAGTTTCGGTGGCAACCTGGGGGAATGTTTAGTAGAGACAGGCATTTTTGTCAGTCTTTTCACATGGATGTTGCACAAAGAGCTGAAACAGATGCCCCCTCCCTGGGGCTGATTCAGTGCTGCACAAAACCCCTCTGCCTGCAGGAATGCTCGGGATGAGCCCTGCATTCCTTAGTGACACCGAGATAAGCAGAGCACAGCACTGGGAGAGCAGAAGGCGAGGATGGTACCAGGCTGTAAAGTTTAAGAGATGAATGTTTCCCACTGGCCGGGATCCAGGTGATGGTTAAGAATGAAAATATCCTGAAAACATTCTGGAGAGTGGCTTTTAAAACCAGCAAAAGAAAAGTATTTGCAGGTTGGTCCACAGAGCAAGCACAAGCAAGACATTTTCCTACAGCGAGCAGGGAGAGAATGCAAAGAACAGGATCATTTAGCCTGAGGTTTCAGAAAACTATGGTGTGTGTGTGTGTTGTCTGCTGCGTAACACACACTAAAGGCAGCAGTGAAATCCCTTATGGAATTTGATGTAAGCACAGACAGCAGCCATCTGACACGGGTAGTGTTTTACCCTGACCTGACTTTGGTGTAGTTAAGCACCATGTAGAGAACAGGGTTGCTGTTAACGTGTAAGTTTCCTAAAGGTCTGTGTTTTGATCTAAACAACATTCCGCTCCAGGACTTCATCTCTGCATTGCGAAATTTGAGGGCAGACACCCTTGCCCTGCTTTCACTCTGTGGAAAACATCTCCCACATCTGGCACCCTGCAATTAATAACTGGGATACTACAGGCCTCTGAGCCTGTGGTCTTTAGTGCTGCGTATAAATCAGGTGGTACAAGCGAGAGCCAAGTCTAATCAGGTTACTGTGTGAGTAAAGGTGGGTGTGGAACGCTGTGTGCATGAAGGGGAATGTCTGGAGTCTGGCCGGGATACGCTTGGTGATGTGGGGTGGGATGGAAGGTGGCTCGATGCTGTGGCAGGCCCCAAGAGAGCTGGTGCAGGTGCCAGGCAGAGCAGGCTGCTGCAAGCCTCTTCTTGGGAGCTGCCTATGTATCCAGCCTGGAATTACAGAGGTGCAGGTGTGCCTGGGTAGTGCCTTCCTGCTCCAACCTTACCAAGGCTGCTTGTAGGAAGCAGAACTACAGTCACACACAGCACTGAAACAGCTGCATAAAAAGATTCCTAAGTGTTCCTTGCCTATTGTGGAAAAACCTTCCAAGGTGAGCGGAGCACAGAGAAATGATCATAGAATCACAGAATGGTTTGGGTTAGAAAGGACCTTAAGATCATCCAGTTCCAACCCCCCTGCCGTGGGCTGGGACACCTCACGCTAGACCATGTCACCAAGGCCCTGTCCAGCCTGGCCTTGAACACTGCCAGGGATGGAGCATTCACAACCTCCCTGGGCAACCCATTCCAGTGCCTCACCAACCTTACAATAAAGAACTTCTTCCTTAGATCCAATCTAAATTTCCCCTGTTTAAGTTTTAACCCATCACTCCTTGTCCTATCACTACAGTCCCTAATGAAGAGTCCCTCCCCAGCATCCCTATAGCCCCCCTTCAGACACTGGAAGGCTGCTCTGAGGTCTCCACGCAGCCTTCTCTTCTCCAGGCTGAACAGCCTCAATGTTCTCAGCCTGTCTTTATATGGAGGAGCTCCAGCCCCTGCTCATACTTGTGGCCTCCTCTGGACTTGCTCCAACAGCTCCATGTCCTCCATATTGAGGACAGCAGAACTGCACACAATACTCCAAGATATGACACCAAGAAACGATACCTGGTGCTCTGAAGAGACATGGAGAGAGGTCAGCAGCAAGGGATAGTTCCCATAAAGCTAAAATGACACAGGGTGAAGCTTACAGCCAGGCTGGATGAGCTGGCAGCAGTGTGTTCTTGAAAGGCAGTGACACATGGAGTGAGACTGAGGGAGGGGCAGGAAAGAAACGGAAATATTGGGTAGTTCTATGAAATCCCAGTGCAGACAACTCGGACCGTGAGGAGGCTCACGTAGGTGCTTAGCAGTAAAGTGAGCTGCGTGCTCTGCTAATAACTACATCCAACATTCCTGTATCTCTGCAGGCATGGTTCAGATCTGTAGACAGCAGGTGGCAACTGCAGGCCTTCCATGCAAGAGTTGTGTGACAAGCTCTGCTCTGAGAGTGGCAAGCATGGAGCTGTGCTTCCCAACCATTCATGAGAGTCTGTCCTTGCCAAATGAGGGCTGTAATGCAGGGCATGTTCACGGTCCTGGCTGCAAAATCAAAGAGGAGCTGAGCCTGGGATAAGGCTGTGGAAGAAATGCTGGCACTAAGATGTGTGTTCAGTTCTGCCATGGCACCCTTGGGAAGGCTTTAAATACTGCAAGTGTTTGGGCTCAGACTGTTATAGCTGGTTTTCACACTGTGAAGAAAATACTTGGCCTGTGTCAAGCAAGTGAGAAGTGGGTAAATCTCTACTGAAGCAAAACTGGATGGTCCCTCAGCCCCTGGGAAAGAAGTGCTGAGGAGAGGGAAGTAGAGAGGGCTGGGAAGCTGACTGTATCCACCCTTTGTGTTGCAAAATGTGAAGTTGTGGTTGGTTTAAACTGGCATAAATTGGGAGTGATTTCACTGCAGCCTGCTGACAGGCACTGGGGATGTGCCTGATGTGACAGCAAAATCAGGGCTGTCCACTCCCAGTGACATGTATGAATCCTGCAGTGATTTCTGCAGCAACTCATGGTGATAATGACCGGTCCATTGTACTTAAATACGTGAAACCAGTTTTGGTTTGTCCAAAACCTCTTAGCTTCATTCTCTCCTTGCTTTACTGATCACTGTGCACTGCAGGGCAGAACCAGATTTATTCTAACTCGGTGCATGTGTGCGGCCCCTCCAGCACACAGAGCTGGCTCCTGCAGGCCTGGTTCCTGAGGCACAGTATCACTGAGTAACCTTTTTACATCCTGCATTAGATATAGGAGTAAGACCATTTCTACATGCTCCTAACTCATGAACAAGTTATTTTAGTTAGATGTCACAGTGAAACAGAGTAACAGGGACAGAAAATGAAGGTCTACACTCAGAGGCCCTTTTAGCAAGCAAACTTGGTACCTGGTTACTCAACTTGGTGATGAACAAAGTTCCTCAAAAGATGAACATTTTGAATGTTGCCAGGATGAGTGCTTTGGTTTAGGTGGCTGGTAGCTCCTCTGGCTTCCAGGAACTACTTAAGTGGATGAAGGTAGACAGGGGTACTACATTTTTGACCAATTGTGTAACCACTACTTGGGTTGTGAAAGCTCAGTCTGCAGGACTTTGAAACACTGTTGGAATGTTTGCTGTACCCAGTGCAAGTGTTAGACACCTAGTGTATCCAAAATATGCATTTATTCAGTTTTAGACCTGTTAAATGCTGACCTTAAACAACAGTCACTTTAACAGAATTGCGTGGCTCTAGCAGAGATTTGCTGTACAATATCCTCAAGTTGCCTTTCTAGTTGCTTAAACAGATTGCTGCAATTAAAAATAGATTAAAAAATGCCCATAACTAAGACACTTTATTAAACAACTTCAAGCTGTACAAAAGAAAACAAATATGACTTAATTCTTCTAGTGTTGATGATGGAGTTGCCATACTGTATCCTGTGACTTTAGCTTCAGATCAGTCCTATTACAAGATGAATTTTGACATGTACAATATTTATCAGCCAGCAGTTAACAATCAGATCTTTGGTTCACCTCTGCTTTAGCTGTGGGGAGAAGCAGGCAGAAGGAAGAGTGTACTTCACCTCATTCCTGACCTCCAGTTAATTTATGGAACAGATCTTCATCCAGTGTTTCATTCTGGTCTTTGGAACGGGTTGACAAGAAGATGTACCCCCCGATGTACTCATGGATAATCTTGCAGTCTGCACTCAGGCACGTGAAGGCGATAGATACATTCTGATCAAACTCGATTGCAACCTAAGGGAAACACAGATGGCAAAATCAGGAACAGGGAGAAGCTGCATCTGGGAAAACCCAGCAAGTGTGAGAGCACAGTTGGGTGGCAAAGCCTGTGATAAAGCAGAAAGTGTCTCTGCAACCCCAAACTTATGGTTGTGCTGGGGGTGTTGGGCTGCTTGCTTCTTAAATGTGCTGTGGCAGGGCCCTCTTGTGGTCAAAATCTTTATGCTGTTCAGGCAGGCAACAAAACTATGCTGTTAACTTGATTTTCTCTAATGGTGTATAAAACACTTGAGAAGAGCAGAAATGGCACTCCCAACTCCTTGTACACCTAACCAGTAATGTTTAATATTGTCCATTATTACGTTCTGACCTTAAATCTGCTTTTGGGGTCCAGGTTTTGATTTCCAGCTACTGCCAATTCTAATATCCAGCAAACTGAGCCATGGATTCTGCCTTGCCTGGTTTGAGAGGGATTTAAAGCAAACCCAGCAGCTTTACCCTGAATTACAGGCTCTGGCACAGGGAGTACTGCAGGAGAGCAATAGGGATTGTGTCTGATCTCTCCTGGCTCCTGCAGATGCATGTGGAAAACTTAAGTTTCCAGGCTGCTTGAATCAACATCAGGTCAGTTCCACCTCAGAAATCTACAATGTACAGGGCTAGCTTCAAGCTTTCAAAGCCAAACTCTCCATCAGTCACACAACGGAGCTTCTTTCTCAGGACCACACACAGACACAGGGGAGCTCACCCTGCAGCCCTGCAATCTCAGTTTGGGATTTGAAAGACAAACTGGGTTCCTGTACCCTCAGTAAGTAATAGACACAGAATCACCACAATTTAGAGGATGATGCATGAGCTGGGCTATACAAAGAGATACAATGAGATTTTACTGACAGAGCAGTAAACATAATGGGTTTGAATTTACCTTTGAGTCTGTATTTCATCCCATCAAAACCTAAGGGCAACTTATAAAGAAGCAGCTTGGTAGGAACCTTTTAAACTGGAGCTCTTTTAGCTTCTGATTTTTGACTGCAGACTCCATTAAGAAAACATTTTAGACAGCTTATTTAATAACATGTCACAACATGTTCAACATCTTTTCACTCTGAGGTTTAGAAACACCTTCTGAAAGCATCCCCCAGTGTCTGAAATGCACTGACTGACTGCAGGGAGCTGTTCCAGCTTTACCTGGCGTATTTCCCAGTTCACATTCCACTGCTTCATGTTGGAGAACCTCCATGTTGTGATAGGATCTCCCGTGGCTATATCTATTCGTATCAGCCTGTTATAGGACACCCCAAGCACATCATCCTTTTTGCTTCCTTTAAACCTAAAACACAAAAAAGCCTTTGAGCACATCTGGTTTGTGATGATTTCTGTCCAGAGAAACATTTCACTTGCATCCTCTGAAAGTGCAATAAATGTGGGAAGAGTCACAGCAGCCTGAGGAGAGCCGGGACCCTTCTTTAGACCAGTATTTGTTATAAGGCAAAGTGATCAGTTGGTGAACTATAGCATAAGATGGAAAACAATGAGGCAGATAAATCTGGCTAAAGCCTTCCAATTCACTGTTTGCTGCTACAAAAAAATAACTGTTCTGCCAAAATGTCACCGCTAATTTTCCCTGCTTCACTTCACTGATGTTGAAACATGTTCTTGTAGTTATAGTCACCTAAATTATGGAAGCATATAAAATAGATTTAATATTTCCTATCACCATTAATTTATTGAACCAACTGTGAGAAATACGTGCGTGTTTCTGAGTACAAATCACATTATAGAGACATTGAGATGTTTTAACATTTCAAGTTTGTTCTGATTACGGATGAAAAATCCATACAAAAGTATCAGAACTTCTGGGGGACAGAAAGTTTTGACTAGCTAGGAAAAAACTACCCTGGTAAAGAAACTTCCTTCCCCTGCCTTTGTGCTGGAAGCTGGAAGGAATTTCACCTGTCTGCTGTTAATATCTGCAATGTTTCTGATCCTGTTTCCTTCTGACCCTTCTCTCTTTACAGAAAACTGCTCCTTAGGGAAAGAATGTGATTTAAACCCCTGTTTGTGCCTTGCTTAACAACCCCACTCAGCCCATCAGTTTGTAGAAATACACCACAAGATGTGGTCGTGTTCAAGACCAGCTTGGACGGGGCTTGGAGCAACCTGGTCTAGTGGAGGGTGTCCCTGCCCGTGGCAGGGGGTTGGAAATGGATGAGCTTTAAGGTCCCTTCCAACCTAAACCAGTCTGGGATTCTGTGTTTTGCTTATGCTACAAAACGCAGTTCAGGTGTTGGGTTTGTTAATGGAACTGGTGATAGATGGGGCAAACCCTCTGTATCTATGTTAGTACATTAGTGACAGGGAACATTCCGGGGTACTGAACCCATGTTCTGTTCTATTGCTAGAAGAGTCCCAGCAGAATTCTGGCTGCAGCCAAGCAGCACTCTCTCCAATTTTGGGTGTGACATGGTTTAGTGTGAGGTGTCCCTGCCCATGGAAGGGGGGTTGGAACTGGATGATCTTAAGATCCTTTCCAACCCTGACTATTCTGTGATTCTATGAAATGACTCCCAGGTACAGTGCAGGAGCTGGAACATCTAAGGACCAGCATGATCTAGTAGTTCGGGGGTTTCGGGAAGTCAGAGAGTTCTATAGTATGGATATAGGATGTTCTATGCCAGCTGGCCTCTGTGCCAGACAATGTTTCCCAGCTGGTTTAATGATTCCTAACTAGCCCTGGAAGAGGTGTTAAGAACAAATTAAGGTGCCTTCATGTGCTTATGTGGCTGTGTCAGTTCTCTGCATGTTTTTTGGTGTTTTGTCAAGACTGCAGGTCAGAACCCTGCCGTATTCAAGGTAAGTGTCCAGGGAAACTGCTATGAACACATCAGAACATTCCTTGTGCTGAATGCTCTTCCAGGTTAACCTAAAAAAGGGATCATTTGCCATTTCCTTAATGAAATGCCAAAGAAATTGGCACTTTCTCATACTCCAGCGAACAAGAATAAGGGCAAACAAATCTATTGCAAGCCTGAGAACACCAACAAGACATGCATTTTTTACAGTTTAGGGAGTTTATGTCAATAAGGATTTAATCCTTGCGATACGTTCCTTATGTATACAGACATAGTGGAGAGTCTCACTCCAGGAATGGAGCCACTGAGTGCTATTGCTGTAGAAAAACCAGCAGTATGGACATGTACAGGTTATGGCAGCTCGACATCACTGTAGCGATGGGATTACCTTACAATGTAGTAGGATAAGCCAAACTCAGGGAGAGACTGCCATGCCTGGATAAAACGCAGCTTGGCCTCCACTAAGGGCATCTGGGATACATTTTGGTGAGCTTCCAGAATACGAGCAACCAACTGGGAAACACAGGAAGAGAGAAAGGTTTCAGGTGACTGGAGAACAAAAATACCTTTGCTGTCACTACACCAAACATCGTTAGCTGTGATGCCACATTCAGACACTTGGTTGTCACTGTCCAGGTTACCACAGAGAGCGCTTGGGGACAGATCATGACCCTCAAGGGCAACTCAGTGCAGGAAGATCTCAGGTCCAGGTTTGTGCTGCACTGGGTCTAGCGCCAGAATACTGCTCTGGAGACTGTCTCCTCAGGCAGGACAGGTAGGCTGAACTTTTGCGGCAAAAGCAGTAGACAAGGAATTGTACCTTATAGTGGTCTTTCAATACCTGAAGGGGACCGACAAGAAATCTGGAGAGGGACTTTTTACAAGGGCATGCAGTGACAGGACAAAAGGGAATGGCTTTAAACTTAAACAGGGGTGATTTAGATTAGATATTATGAAGGAATCTCTTACTGTGAGGGTGCTGAGGCGCTGGCACAGGGTGCCCAGAGAAGCTGTGGTTGCCCCATCCCTGGCAGTGTTCAAGGTCAGGTTGAACACAGGGGCTTGGAGCAAGCTGCTCTAGTGGAAGGTGTCCCTGCCCATGGCAGGGGGTTGGAACTGGCTGAGCTTTAAGGTCCCTTCCAACCCAAACCAGTCTAAGATTCTATGAATTAGGCAGAGAGGAAGGAGAGACAGGAAGACACTGTTATTTAAGATGCAGATAACAACTTCCTGTCCTTAAAACCCTTCCTTTCTTACTCTGAAGAGACTTTCAGGGACAGTGTTGTCAGGAGAACACGGTGAGCAATGTAGGAGGCGATATGGATGGAGGAAGAGTACCTGGAAGAAGTATTGAGACACCTGAACATGTGCTCAGTGTAAAGAAAAAGCCTCTTGCAAAGGGACAAATGAGTGTTGTGGGATGATTCTACTGTATGGTTTCTAAATGCTGCTCCCATCCAGCCTCACCACCACCATACCATCCATACCCAGCCATAAAGCCATTCTCAGGGTACCTGCTTGGACTTGTATTTTTTGGTATAACGCAGTGACACGAAGCATTCTGGTTTCATATCTGTGTTTTCTGGATCAGATGCAGCCTGGGGAGACATGGTCCAGTTCTTCATCTTTAGAAACGAAAGGATCTTGTGGACCTCAGGATGATAAGAGCTATCAGCCATTGTCTTGCCTTTTGAGGCTAAAACACAGGCAGCCATCCACCGAGCATATTGGTTCTCCTGCAACAAAGACAACTGGTTTTGGACAGGCCATTTATGAAGATGGCTTCTGATCATGTATCTTCATAAA